CCCCTCTGGCTTCAGGGCCCCTCTGGCTTCAGGGCCCCTCTGGCTTCAGGGCCCCTCTGGCCCCTGAATCTGGGCCACGCCGTCCTGTGTTTTAATCCATCAGCGGTGGTGACGTGTAACGTTCACTTCCTCTCACTGATGTGGGACGTTCCCATCAGCAAACAGAGACCAGATTAAATCCCTCGCTGAGTTCTAATCACTGCCTTCACTAGACTCATGTATGAACTACATGTGGTGGTCCAATGTTTGTGGACTCTCCATCAGTACTTCCACCTTTTGCTACTTCTATTTCACTTCAAGTAGTCGGTATTATGTTAATAATCATAAAGCTTTGGTTACTTTGTCTTTGCAGATTTATATCACAAACATAAACAATGAACTACTAAAACATTGTTTATTGTTCGAGCTCAGGCTGCCCAGCAGTGTACAAAATAATACGAATTAGCTCCAGCTGCAACATTAAAGTGTTCACATGAATGAATCAGTGATAATAATCCAGAAACATAACATATCTAATTCTCCAGTCTCCAGTACAGAAGCTCAAGGAAGACAGCTTGGTGAGAATGTGATGCTCTGAGGTTGTCTTTCATCTATTGGACCAGGGAACCTTGTCAAAGTAAATGGCATCGTGACAGAAGAAGAACAGATTAAGGTTGTGGACGAAAACATCCGACAGTCTGCAGAAAAACGTGTCCTTGTGCAGCATTGAGCCTTCAGTGACCGGAAACATGCAGCCAGAGTGGTCAGGAAATGAAGCGTTCATTTGCAAAACCAGATAACTCCATGTTCACAAACCTTCAGAAGACCTGAGACCACATCCATCAAACTTCAGTTGTCTCTATTGTTGTCATTTCTACTGAGTCAGATCCACTCAGCTTCAGTCTGACTCATATTGTCTCAAGCAAACAACAAGAAAACAAGTTCTGTGAAAATCTGCAAAAACGGAGTTATCTGATTTTGCAAATGAACTCTTCAAATGTTTAAAAGGAAAACTATGTTGGAAGCAGCAACAGTCCAAACCTGAAGACCAGAGTGATGGAAGGAAGCTTCAGGTTTGTGCAAAGAGGGACTAAATCCCAGAAGAGACCTGCAGAAAGACTGATAGTAAAAACTGTTTGACTGATGTAGTGGCAAACACAGTCTTTCACACTGATTACTCAGAAAAAGTATAAATAATTTTGAAAATGGCATTAAATACAGTTAAAATTCATCATGAACATCACGAACACAACATCTGACTGTCTTGTGTCACTTGTTTAGGAAACTGTGAGCCAGAGAAGATTGACAGTAAATCAAAGTTTGCATGACTATAAATAATCTGGGGCTGGACTGATCATATCCAGACAGTAAAAATGACGTTTTCCATCATTTCAGATTAAATTTCAACGTTACTGCAGTAGATACTGTCCGCCCATGATGGGGAGATCAGGGATCTTCTTGCTCCTTCAGGCCCACTGTTTGTGCTCCTCATCACAAGTTCAACACAAAATCATTTTGTTGACGATAAGTGTTGAAAAGTGTGACTTGTGCTGAACTATTGTTACCACAGCGAGTCCGAGCAGAGCAAACACCGAGCGTCCTGACCAGAAGCAGCCAGCAGGTGTCGCCCAGGCTGTGAAGGTCCCCCTGGCTCTGTGTATGTGGGTTTCCTTCCACCTGGCCGTCCACTGGACCATGTGAAGCCTCCTCTGCTGCACTTCTATGAATCAGCAGTCTGGCATGAAGCTGAGAGTAAACAGGGTGTCACCGGACATGTGCTGGTGGATTAATAGCCTACATATAGGGAAGCCTAAAGAGCTCATTCAAGTCCTGGAAAGAGTCAGAAAGAATGTGTTCTGTCAGGGTTGGTGGAGAAGCAGCTCCAGGTCGGGTTTGGAGACTTTACAGCTGATGCACAGCTTTGTTTACTTCACAGCCAGTCGGAGGTTCTAGTGCACCAAGAAGGTTCTGTTAGTCTACAGTTGCCTTCACTTTGAATTAATTTAACATTACAGCTACCTTTAACCTGCTCTTGTTGCTTTACGCCAAACGTTTTGTTTTTCTAACAGCTTATGAAGAGTTCATTTGCAAAACCAGAAACCTCCACGTTCACAGACCTTCAGAAGACCTGAGACCACATCCATCAAACGGATCTCTACTTTTGTCATTTCTACTCACAGTTTACTGATATTATCTCAAACAAACAACAACAAAACAGTTTTCTGAACATCTTTGTGCTCTGAGCTCGTCCTGTGGTTCTGAACCGTCTCATCAGCTGTTCGGTTTTACTGTAAAATCTACTTTGTTTGCCAACTACCAGCTGCTCTGTGTCCAGCCATTCTGAGAAAGTCTCTTCACCCCAAAAATGTTTTTCGTTATTGAGAAACAACACACGTGTAAGCTCGGAGCTCTCTGATTGGCTGCGGCCGGTCTCTAGCTCAGCCACGGACCAATGAGGAGCCGCTGTTGTTTGTGCACCGCCGCTGCGCTGCTATAAATCTGCAGCGATGAGCGATGACAGCAGAAACTGTGAGAGAAAGAAGGAAGAGAAGCATCTGGTGTGAGAAGCACATCTCTGTCCTCCGGGTTTGTCTTCGAGGGACGTTGGGAGCCGCAGAGGAAGTGAGCCGAGGCCGGAGCCGCTCCGCCGCCCTCCTCCCCCTCCGGACCGCTCGCTCAGGTGAGGCTGAGGATGCTCCACAGCGGAGCAGAGGCTGACTCAGAATGTCACAGGTGTGGTGAGAGGACTCAGCAGAACCTCAGTGACACCAGCTCCTGGTCCCGGTCTGAGCTCCTCTCTGCTCTGAGCCGCCTTTTGTTTCAGAGGAGCTGAACTTCACTGTTGATCAGCTCAGTTCAAATCCTCTCATTATTATTGGTCCTACAGATCTGCTGCAGACACTCGTGTGGTCACTCTGTGCATTTCTACAGTTGTTTCTTTCATTGTGGTGACAGATCACTTGTCCTTCTGCTCCTGGTGTCTGTGTTCTGCTCGCATGATGACATTGGAGCGGTTATTCAACACTGCGTGAAAGTTGGGATGTTATTTCTGGAACATCTGTCCCAGAAGCAGCTGTGATGAAGCAAACCTCTTGTCTGTGGGGCTTTTTGTCGTCAGCTGGTTCCGAGTTAACTGTCTTTGTCTGAGCAGCAGGATGGCAGCTCCTCTGTTCTGTTGTTGATGGTGAACAGCTGAGAGCTTCTTGCGTAGATGTGCGTCAAGTTGCTGAGAGGAAAACGGTGTAGTTCCTGGAGAGTGGTCCTGTAGTCGTCAAAATAAAGGCATGCAGGGTTAAGCCTAAAACACTTTCTACAGAGAGCTGAGTCAAAGTGCTTTACGGGTTTTTTTTCCCAAACTAGCGTAAAAATAAACTCAAAAAAATAAAAATAAAAATAACAGTCAAATAAAACTAAATAAATGAAATGAATCAATACAGGCAGATTAAATAAAGTGCACAGGAATTTAATAGAATATTGACTAAAACTGCAGAAAAAGACGAACGATGACAAAAGTAACACGTTAGAGGCAAAAATATACAATAGAAAAGAAAAGAAATTAAAATGAGGTGAATAAAGGCAGCAGCGTGCTCAGGCTTCATACGAAGGCTGTTAGTTACAGTGATAGAAAGTTTAAAGTCAAAGTAGGAGCAATGCCTGGAGAACTTTAATAAAAACTTAGAAACAATAAACACGTTTCCAGTGTCTCCATTGTCCACTCATGAAGACTGTTCACGGCAGCGAGCTTCACCAGGCTTTTATTTTGAAAGGGGCAGCAGGAACAGGCTCGTCAGATGGTGCGTAACTTGACCGGGAGGGGGGTGAGAGATGCAGATCGGGGCAGGAGAGGGGGTGTATTGTGCGGATGATTTCAGTCCAGTTCAGACCAGTTCCGATGCTGCTCTTCATTCACCGCAATATACTTTGTCTTATTGTTGTCAGTGCGGAGCCGGAAACACATGAAACCGGACTGAAGTCTGCTCGGTTGTTGTTCTTTTTATTGTTGTTGTTGTTGTTGTTGTTGTTGTTGAAGCTCGTCCTCTGCCTGGAGGCGATGAGTCACATCTGTAACTTCACATTCACACAAAAACAGCGTCACACAGAAGACACGAAGCGCAGAAAATGTCGAAAAAACACCAACGTAGAGGAAAACAAAGCTGTTTGTTCTCCAAATGATCTCTATGAAGGATTCAGGACATGTTTGATGAGTGACGATCTACAGCCTCAGCATTAGTCTGTAAAGTCTCACAGCCACTGTTTCTATATTTACATTCATCTATTTGTATTTATCTCTGTTATCCATCCAGCACACTTCCATCAGCAGCAGCTCATTCTATTTATACTCTTACATTCTGTACATACTGGTTATATTCACACTTCCATTAAAGTTCTTCCTCTGACCTCAACCTGCTTCTGTTTGCACTGAGAGGCTGAACTGCCTTTTATTTCTGAGCGCTTCAAACATTCAAACATCACTTCAGTGCTTTCAAATTATTGTTTTTGTCATGAAATATTTATTAGATATTTAAAAATAACCCTCGTTCCACGCAGTTGTAATGTACTGCTTATTTTAGATGTATTTATGAGCTTCTATCTACATCAACCAGTCACGCTGCAATTCATTTGCGCGTGAGCGGCAGCGCTCGCGCAAAAACACCGAGACTCTCGCGCCGCACTGGTTCGAACCGGCTGGAGCTCGCGGTGCGTTCACGTGCAGCAGAGTTTTCAGTAAAGCGTCACTTTGTTTTGAGCGAAACAGCCTCGTCTCGCTCGACAGGCGGCTGCTCTTCACGGTGAAACATTTTCAGTTCGTGTTTTCACACAAACAAAAGAGAAAATCCACAAAGCGGCCGCGTCCCGTTCAGCTTTCAGGGTTTTAAATCGTTACATTAAGGTAGGCCGTTTTAAACCTGCTGTCGTCTAAATGTAGAAAGTTGGAGATGATAAATGGAAGAATTATGTTCTAGCATTAAACTGGAGAAACTCTCCCAGCTGAATTATTCATGCAGGACCCGATTCAAAGCAGATTTTGACCAGTAAATGCCCCTCCACTGTGTTCTCCCACAGGGACACAATACAACATCAGCCTCACGTGTAGCCGCTGCCACAGCTATGTCACCAGCAGCCAATGAGAGAAGACCTTTTACACCGTCAAGCCAATCAGATCTGCCAGTGGGCGGGACGGTGTGATGTTTATAGGAGGGGCTTGTGCCTCAAAGGCCTCAGCTGTTTTCTGTATAGTCCTCCCCTATACACCATCATCATCATCCTCAGCAGGCTGAAACAAAGAAAGTGTCTAGTCTGAGCTCAGAGAGTCCTCACAACACTGTAGTGTGAAATCCACCGGCTCTGAAGCAGCATAAGATCATACAGTTCAAATACATCCTAATTATACGGAGCCATAGAACCTCTGTGTAAATAATTAATGAGGCATAACATCTGAAAACATCTCCATCAGTTTCCTCTCTCATTGCTCGTCTCCCTGTCCTGTCTTCCAGGCTCCAGCAGCCTCTCTTAGATCCGGTCAGGTCCTCTCACTGCTACCTCCAGCCCAGCAGACATGGCTCCCACCCTGGCCACGGCCTTCTCCCGCCGCTGGTGGATGGCGGTGACGGCGGTCATCGAGAACCTGCTTTTCTCTGCGGTGCTGCTCGGCTGGTCGTCCCTGCTCATCATGCTCAAGTCCGAGGGCTTCTACTCCTACATGTGCAGCAGACCAGGTGAGTTGTCGTATATAAGCCAGTGGGCGTGTTGTCCAGGTGTTGATCCAGTCTGAATTCATGTTTCTGAGACGGTGCACTACAGGTTCATGGTGGAAATGCTCAGCAATGGACGCCTTGTTTTGACAGTGATGTGTCCTCCAGCACACAAAAACCACCGTATAGAAACGTTAACAAGGCTGGAAAACTTGATTTTCACCTGAGGGCATCTTCAAAGTACTTGAGTTACTTTACAAGCAAGTAAAACATGATGTACTTATGGCCCTCTGTCATGTTCCAGATGTCTACAAACGACAAAACCACAGAGAAGTCATCTTTTTTATTCTATACATTCCTCTTCCTTGTCACTTGTCACCTCCTTTAACCACAATTCAGCTGTAAATGAAGGGTTCAGCGGAGGTTTCGTGTGTTCTGTCAGCGGCAGTAAAACGGGTAAAGTTTCCTTACAGTGAGGCCGCCGAGTGCTTTATCCACCACTGGAACCTCAGTGTCACCTCAGAGAACCGTGTTTTTGTGATCACGTGTATTCTTGTTGATCATAGTAGACACAGTGATCATCACTACATTATTATTAACACTGCTGTCTGAGCCTCCTATAGAGCTTCTTAAGGGCTTCTTAAGGTGTGTTTGCATCCAGTATCTTACAAACCCAGCCTCATTTTTGGATTTAATCATAGCATTGATGTTAAGAGGACAGCCTATCTCTGAGCCATTCAGAAAACAACAGCTTTCAACAGGCTGATTGCGAAGCTCAGAGGTGCTGTGTGCTGTGTGGGTGAGCTGGAATTATGCAGATTTACTGACACACAAACAAGTGTTTAAAAACCTTTTTCAGGAAGTGCTTATGTGTCACCGAACTTTACCGCACCAACCTCAATGTGTCATTTCCTCGCCGAGGACCTTTGAGAAAAGCAGCGACTTGCATTTGAGTGAACACGGAGGGTCTTATTGATCCAACAGTTGGGCTTTCCTTGACGAAAACAAATCATTATCCCAGCAGCAGGCTGATTCTAAACAAGCTTCAAAGCAGCTATGAAATGCTCCCACACAACAAAGCAGCAGATGGTTCATATGAGGTTGTTTTAATATTTTGTTCTGTCCTCGGCGATGATCAAAGGTGCTGCAGTGAGCTGCTGCACTCAGCTGGTCATTATTAGCTGGTAGAAGATTGCGTTGGCTGGTTGCTTCTCACCAGGATTTGGTAATCGATGCTTGTCACAGTAGAAATGTAGGTCAAGTGAAACACAACAACATATTGAAAAGGGCCGGTCCCTCCTCATCGATGGGGTTGTTTATGTATCCAGGCAGCAGATCCGTTTGTGAATGAGACCATTCATGGCTTCATTCTCCACAGCCATCACCACACACTGTCTCTGTCTTTGTCTCTTTGATCCTCTGATTGTCTGTCTGCGTATTTTTCTCTTTTATCCTGCAGAGGAGCAGTGATGAAAGCTTTCCAGGTTAATTTGTGCATACGAAACCTTTTATTTAAATATTTAAATAACCCATATAATTCTCATGTGCTGCTCTATCTGACTGTTTATCTGTTTGAACTGGGTATCTCTTGCCATTGACTCAGCTCTCCCTGCAGCGACCTGACCCATTCCCCGTCAGGACTAACAAGGCCCGGCTCTCTGACGTGCTAAACTGTGTTAAATCAGTAGTTTTTGTGTTTGCTTGTAGCTGTGAGAATCGTGTAATTAGGTCAAGGAGGTGTGAACAATGCAGTTTTTATGTAAGTGTTTATTCACAGTGTAGTCAGTGTGATTGTGTGTCTTCAGGGCAGAGACCTGTGGACATGTAGCCGCGCTGCACAAGAGCTGTCTCAATCCTATTATTAGGTTTAAATGCCGTTTGACATTGAACAATGTTTAATGGCTTTAAATGGAGAGCATGTTGAGTCTTGCCCAGCTGTTGATGTCTCCACTGAGTCCAACACCAGTTCAGACTGAAAGATGTGTTCAAGGCTTTTCAAGCCTGTTGTAAAACCCACATGCCAATACAATGAAACTGTTTTTGCTCTTTGTAATCCAATCTAGTCTGGCTCACTGCATGTAGATTGTGGGTATCAGCCAGTCGTTTGTCTCCTTCCTTTCCACTATCTGCTGTTAGTGTTTTCAAAATCTGGTTCACAGTAGGAAATAACAGCTAGAACCTCCAGGCTCGCTGGCCCGCCTTAATGACAATATAGACCTTTGCCAGTGATTTGGATCGTGGAATAAAACTTTTTTTTTTTTTTTTGGTGAGTTAGTCATTTCAGTGACAGTTTTCACCTCGTCTACGTGCAAACATTTCACCAAAACATTTCCTCTATCACTATTTGAACCCTGAAACCCTGTCCTTCCTTTAGCTCCACCCAAGTTGATTGTGATTGCTTAAAGGAAATAAAAACAAGCCAGAGCATTTTCTTCCCCAAAAATGTAAGAAAAGTGGATATTAAAAGTACAAAAAGTACGAGTTGCAGTTGTCAGAGCCTGGGTATGCAGCCATGTGGAGTCGGGTGATGATGGGACGAGTAGCTGGCCGGACTGCAATGTTCAGCACACGATAATATCAATCACGTGTCTGGCTGAGGAAACAAATCACCTCTCAGCAATGTAGCGAGGAACTTTACCAGGCGGCATTCACCTACTGGAGCAGCACGTCCGATGATTTAGCATCAGATCTACGGCAGATATATAGAGACCAGACATTGTCCTGTCAAAGAAAAGAGACACAGGTGCGCTGGAGATATTTCATAACACATCATTATGAAACACTCATCCTGTGTGCAGATGTTATCTTATTTGACTTTGCTGTTCATATCAAGAAGATCCCTGGTTCGCGTCCCGGCCTGGGCCCCGGATCTTTCTGTGGAGTTTGTATGTTCTCCCTGTGTGGGTTCTCCGGCTTCCTCCAACAGTCCAAAGACATGCTGAGGTTCACTGGTGATTCTAAATGATCTCTCTGTGTAGCCCTGAGATAGACCGGCCACTGGTGTCCCCTGCCTTCGCCCTGAGTCGGATGGGATAGACTCCAGCCCCCATGACCCCAGTGAGGATTCAGCGGTGTAGAGATGATGGATGGATGTGTTACTCAACAATCAAACCTTCTATTTAAGTTTCTGTTTCTACCTGGTGGCTCTGTTGTGAAGCTCATCCATCTTCCTGGCTGTGGTTGCTCTGCTGGTGTGAAGTTTGTGGGTCACACATGAGAAAGAGAGAAGTGTACGTCTGCCTCACCAACCGCTCTCTGTTTGTCTCGTGACTTGACTCGTCTGCACGGTTCCTACCCTCATGTTCTCGTTTGTTTCTCAGAGATACAATCTGTGTGTTTTGCTCTGTTTGCTCTGTCACAGGAAAAGCTTGTTTCTGGTGAGCATGTATGCTGCTCCCAAAAGAGGACAACAGGTAGCGGCTTTTGTTCGTGTTCTCCTTTATATTTGTAGTTAGACACTGTGCTACATGCTGCCCTTGAGGCTGAGTAGATGCCACAACTTGACCCCATCGGCTTTGCATAATAATGATCTCATCCTTAAATAAGTCTCTGATCACAGGAGCACCGGCTGTGTCTGAGAGAGTATTATTACCCGCAGCATCTTTCCTGACTACTCATCCGTCAGCGCGCTGTTTCAATATGCAGATAATCAGGTTATCAGGTTTGTCTTGGTGCTTTCTGTGGGCGAATAAAGGCCCAACTCAGGAAACACAGCGCGTTTTATTAATGATTAAACCAAATGACTGTGTAGGAGGCGAGTCTGTTTGACGTCATCTGTATGTACAGGAGGAGCTTATGGAAGAAAAGAGCCTGTCAAGGAACATACACAGAAGTTTTTCTAGTGTTGACGTGAGCATTCAGTGAACTAGCAGGTGTACATTGAGTTCAGTGTGACTCATGAGGAAGACGTTTTCAGAGAAGAGAGACTGAGTGTATGGGGGCTCTTCCCTTATTGACTCAGGTCTGCTGTGGACATTTGATTAGTCAGCAGTCGGGCCGCCGGGGGACAGATGTCGCTGCCTTCTGTTCATCCAACAGTCAGCACTTAATGCTCCAATACCCCTCAAACACTGGCCTCAGAAGCAGAGCACAGGATCTACCTATCGACAGAATGTGTGATCACAAAGGGCTTCGAGCTGGACCGCCACTTTGGTTCCCACTGGACAGAGTTGTAGTTCGATGGAAGACGCATTTACATTCGTGGTGCCCAGAAGATAAATCCTACAGACTGTACTGATCCCTGCCTTTACCTCCAGCACCAAAACTACAACTTAGCACAAATTCAGTTCAGTATAGATCTTGTGAGGTGATTTCATTTTGCAGATCTTCTTGGTTCCCAGAGGAGGACTTTATGAGGTTTTCATGATTCCCTGACTTGTCTTCTATGATCAACGTTTACCAGGTGAAATGTCTCAACAGCGACCAGATGGGTTTCCATAAAGTTTGGCCCTCAACCTGTTTCCAGAGCTGTTTTTTCACCAGGATTTATTGTCTCATGAGTTGAGAACCAGGATTCATGGCTCATAAATGTAGGAGCACCAGCTTAATTTATTCATCACAATTAAAATCAAGAACTGATATCAGACTAATTTTCTTTTCTGGATGATTCTGGAGACACATTTGTCAATTTCTGCTTTCCATTCTTTGTACATAAAGGGAAGGGGACTTTATATTAGAGATAGACCAGTTATCGGTGTGGCAGATTATCGGATCAGATATTCTGTTTGCTTCATTACACCTCAAACACCGATCTGGGATAAATGCTGACGAGCTCTCTTTTAGTTAAACATATATAAAACAAAAGGGAACAAAAACATGTAGAGTAAGATTTTGTGTCGGAATTTGTGTTATTCTAAATTTTGACACCAAGATTTTAGTTCTTACTTCAAATACATCGATTCCAAATATCAACTATTGGGCTCCTGACTTACCAATCCACAGTATCAGGCCTGAGAAAACACACCAATCAGCCCCCTAGAACGCTGATGTTCAACCCAAAGCAGAACCCTGCAGAAGTGCCACTCACAGACCTGTTAGTACAGCTGAAGCTGTTACCCGATGAATTATTCGTACCTTTACTTTGGAGCACTAAATCAAATTAATTCCCACATGGTCCATCTAGCAGCGGTTCTGGAGCTTTTGATCAAGCTCGTGGAGTTTGTCCAGCTATCAACCTGGCAAACTCTGCTTGCAGAAGAATATTGGTGGACCTTGTGGGAAAATAGCTTTGCCAGTTAATATTTTATTGATTCACTCTATACTTAGGATGCACTTGACTAAAATGCATAAATTAGAGGTGGATGACGTTCACTAACTGCCCACAGATTGTTTTGATTCTGTACCCTCATGTTTAATCAAACTCGTTCTTCTCCAGCTCCAGTGTCTTCACGTTGCTCAGTGAGTTTATGTTCCAGCATGAAGCAACACTCCTGAAGCCATGTTACCTTTCACCTACTTACATCCATATAGGACACAAGCCAGTTTTCTGCACCAGGATGCATTTAATATAACATAATAGCTTCCTGTTGTTCTTCTAAATCCCCCGTTAGCCAGGAGGCCAACACCTCCTCCCTGGTCCTCTTTTTACCGAGAGCTGGCTCAGCAGAGCAGAACTCAGCATCACACACCCCTTTAAGAGCACGGAGGGGAAACAGATTTTCACTTCTGTTGTTTATTACACGAAGCAGAGACTTAAGTTTCTGTTGACAACTTGCCCCAGGACTCAAATGAAGAAACACTCTGATGACTAAGGCCTTTATAGCTCCCTCCTCCTCCTCCTCATCCCAAACATGTGCTCACTGCTGAGTCTGTCTCTGCTGCTTTCTGGTAGTTTCACCATAAACAAGTCAAGGTGACTGACGAGTTATTTTCCTCCTCTTTGTTTTCTGTCTATCTGCTGTCTACCAGCAGAATTTAACCAGAGGCAACGGTCTAATAGAGCACAGAGACCAAAATAGACTCCACATGAACTGACTGGACGCTGTTTACCAGCGCTGGAGCGGAGGAGGCTTGCTGAGCTGTTACACAGAGTTTCCCTCCACCACGCGGGGGTTCAATTTGTGACTATTTCTGGCGCCTGTTTACCCCGTATTGTGTTGTTTTCCCTCCAGTTTGTTTGCTTGACCTTTAATGCTGGCCTCTGCTGGCTTTTCCATCAGCAGCTCAGCCCTCACAGAGGGAGGGGGAAACGCTGGAGCTCAGGCCCCGAAGAGCAATATTAGAAATGATCCCTGTTTAGAACCAGAGAGGTATTTATATTAGATCAAACCTCCAGTACAACTGAACGTGTCAACAGGCCCTTTGTAGATAATCAGGGAATGATGACAAGTACGAGTAAATACAAGTGCTTCAATAATAAGTTGTAAAGTTAAAGAAACAACTCAGAGCTGAAGTCTTTCCCTCTCTTTTCTCTCATTTTCCTTCTTCCAGAAAACAGCTCCAGTCTGAACCTCTCCACCGCCAACACCTCTAAGGCTGACAGTGAAGAAGAGGAGTATCTGCTGATGAACAACTGGCCCATCTGCAAAGACCAGGACGAGATGCTGAACCTGGCCTTCACGGTGGGCTCCTTCCTGCTGTCGGCCATCACTCTGCCCCTGGGCATCGTCATGGACAAATACGGGCCGCGGAAGCTGCGACTTCTGGGAAGGTGAGGCCTGAGATCTGACCTGATACGTGTTGTGGTCTTTTTCTTTTTTTTACTGCCTTCCCTTTATTCATGACCATTACTTTGTGTTCCCAGCGCTTGCTTTGCCTTCTCCTGCCTCCTCATCGCCTACGGTGCCAGCGATCCCAACAGTACGTATCTCTGCTCATGTCATCAAACATACGTCACTTTAGCAGCGCTGTACGTTCACTCGGCTGCAGGAAGGCGTCACACCCTCGGTCATGTTGCTTCATACAGCACATCCACACACAGAGCGCACGCTGCACTGACACTGTAATCAATCAGACACAGTGGGAGTGTGTCAGCTCAGGGCCCACACGGCCTTGTGTCATTAATTTGCATTTTCTCCTGCAGATCTCTCCATCCTGATCTTCTTTGCGTTGGCATTAAACGGATTTGGAGGCATGTGCATGACCTTCACCTCCCTGACGGTAGGACAGCTTTATGAAGTTTGCAGTTTTGTGTTTATATCCTATTGTTTGTATTTTGTTGTTTCGGTTGATGTGTTTCACTGGACAAATGATGCTCCTGATCCCTCAACAACTAAACCTTGAAAACCAGGAGGAGACACTCGGGTGGTTTGTAACACCAGATATTCTGTCTGAGCTCATTTGGTTCACTGGAGTTGTTGCATTTTACTGTCCAGAGATTAAACACATGTGAACCGATTGTTCTGTAGAGTTCTGCTGGACCTTCAGCTTTTAGAGCTGTTTTGAGTGAATGGAGAAAGTAAACAGAGAGATCACATTTACTACACAACCTGCTTTCATATGGCTGCTCCAGATATCATAAATAGATTATAATGTGTTAAAATATGCTGAGATATACATTCTGTCCACTGGTTTTATTTGTTACCCGGTTAGTGACACACCTTTGACCTTCTAGTCAGTCAGCTGCTAACAGGCCAGCTAGTTTGGTGAGTTAACCTGCCAGACGACCAGCATGTTGTGTCTCACTAGTGTGTTGGAAGTTAGTCTGTCAACCACAGGAGACTCTCCATGGACCACTACTGTCTGACCAACCTGGCCAAGCATGAGGAGACTAGATATTGGTAGCCTTGCTAGCTTGTCAGCTTCAAGTGTAGACTGTAAAACGATAGCAACAGTATTTATCCAATAAAGCTGTATTTATTGACACAGTCTAACTTGAACAATGCACAACAGAAACTATAATCCTAGAAACGAGCAAACGTTTCCCCAAGCACCACGAGGACCTTTAACAATATTGATCATATTATCCATACTAGCTGATGACTAAGCTAGACTCAGGCTTTAGAGTCAAAGTAGTTGTTCATTGTGAATGAATGAATGAATCTTGTTGGGAAATGGTTGAAAAAACAACAAGACCAATAACACTGAGTTTTGAATGGGACAGCAGTTGGAGTGGAGGAGGGCTGCACAGTCGGATAACTAGTCCTGCCAGCAGTCACTATAAACCTGTTTCATGAGAACACACAATTAAATTTGGGGAACCAATTTCTCTCCAACACGACACTAAAATATTTACCTTTGAAAGAAAGATTTTAATATAACGTGGATGTCAACAAACCACCTCGATTCGATACGAGGAGAAATGAAATGTAATAAAGAGCAGAGGTGGAGGAAGAGGTGATAAGATTTAGAAAGAAAATTTGTCGTGAGCAGGAAAAGGTGGGAAGAGGGAGAGAGGCAGGAGGTGGATGAAAGCTCTATGAAGCGATCGCATCAGACGCTGTGCAGAGGGGAAGGAAAAAAGGCAGAGTACAAAGAGAGAGTGACGGGCAGAGACACAGATGTATCGGACAGGGGAACATTTGAAAAGATGGATGAAGGAGAAAATGGAGAGAGATGGCTGGAAAGAGGCTGCTGGGAGGAAGGGATGAGCAGTGATGTGGAGACAGTAGACGAGTGGCGAGGAGGGACGCAGCAGATAAGAAAAGCCAGTGGTCAGGATGATCTCATCAGTCAGAGAAAGTGCTGCATCACAGGAGACAACATGTGAGCGAGAGACATAGAGACAGACAGAGAGAGAGAGAGAGAGAGAGAGAGTCGCTAGAAGAGAGCAAGTGTGCATTAGTGATCTATTATTCACTGCTGCTGTGCTGCACTGGCTGGGAGCCAAAAAAAGACCTCTCCTCATTACTATTTCATCCAACCAAGGACACATGGATCACTAGTGTGTGTGTGTGTGTGTGTGTGTGTGTGTGTGTGTGTGTGTTGTTGGCATTGCAAGTCTACGGATGTGTGATTGTTCTAGCAGCACAATCGAGTGTGTGCCGAAGGTGAAAGCGCGTTTTTCGGGATTTGACTGTTGTTCTTAAGAAAATGAAGTGGGAGGATGATTGTTAGATCTAGAGTTTGGGTTCGTGTGCTGCTGCAGCGTCCACAGCAGCCTGAATGCAGTTACTTTACCAAGAGATGCTCTGAGAGCGGAGGCAGACTGTCAGAGGACGCAAACAGGAAGCAGCAACACGGGAACTGAGTGTGTGTGTGTGTGTGTTTCCCCACCCATGCTTAGCTGTTTCCTATTCAGGCTGCCCACTGGGACCCTGCCTGACACACACACACACACACACACACACACACACACACACACACACACACACACACACACACGTTGTTCAGCTGGTTGGTTTCGTCCCGCTGCAGTCTGCAGTCTCAGCCCGGCTGTTTTCTTCTTCTCCGGTTTCAGCCGCTCTCCCCTCAGCGAGGCCGGACCTGCACACAACTGTCAAAACTGTGAATGCACGAGTCCTGTACGTGGCTGTTTGTAGGCACTGTGTGTGTCTGCGTGAGTTCTTTTAGCCGTGGAGGGCCTCTAACCTACAGTAGGCTGAGTTATTGCTCCTTGCAGGTCTCGACAAATGTTTTGTTTGTGCTGCTGCACTGGAGTGCGTCTGAGTGTGTCTGCAGGTCTGGAAATTCTTGAAAAGCACTGAAGTGTTTACTCAGCAGGATGCCTCAGAGGATAGAAAATCTTTTTTTTGCTGTGTACGGTCAGAAAGAATTTAAAGAATTGATATAATAATAAATCTGTGCCTAATTGTCCCTACTTGCAGGTAGTAAATCTCTCTCTATGTTGTGTTACTCCTGCTGTTACTTGGTAAACCTGCAGAAGCTGTGAGCGGGACGATAACAGCAGGTTGTGTGGATGCTTTGCCGTCCATTTCTCCTGAATCTCTGGCTCAGAGGCTGTTAGAGAGGAAAACAACTATTTTAAGAAACCTTTTTTCTCAGGGGTTAAAAAAACTCTGAGGCTACATCTGAGGCGTCATCGGTTCTTGAAAGTGTTCAGGTCAGAGTGACCCGTCCAGCTCTCCCACTCTGTGGGACCACGTCTTCATCTTCCACCACCTTTCTTTGTCCCTGCTCCTGTGATTTCTTCTCCTTATCTATCTTCGGCTCACTTCCTCATTCTCACCCCCTTTGGATGCACACTCAGCACTCAGTGTCCCGGGCCGCTGATGGAAAACAAGGAGTGAATGTGAGGAGAAGGGGAGGAAGGGGAGGATGAGGGAGGGAGGTGTGGTTAATTCCCTTTTCTCCGCTTTCATTCCAGTCCGTGGCTGTAAACAGCTTCATGTTACAGAGAATCCCTCCTCTCTCTTATCAAGCGTTCTCAAACAGACCCTGTCGACGTACACTTGTATACATACAGCCTGTCCACACCCACAGGCGCACATGAAGCTCCTCCTCTTGTTCTTCATCCTGTTGGTGGCACGTGTTGCAGCTGCTTTATGGGTCTGACTCTCTGCTCGCAGCCCTAATCTACTTTCTGTCTGATGCCTCGTAATGTATATTTCCTCTGTTCCCAATCCCCTCTTTTTCTGTGCCACTGGCCCATCTGGGAGCAGGCTGACTGATCATCTAGCTGAGCCGCTGCCTGAAAAACCGGCACTGATGTGGCTTTTTGCTGAGGAGTCTGAATGGTGTTTCCTCCTTAATGAATGAGCTGCTAGCTTTGAGGTGGGCCTGCAGGAGAAACAAGGAATGATTTCTTATAAGGTGGAAAATTTCTGAAGTGCACACACAGCACTTCATCCCACCGGTGAAGGATGAGAAGTGTGAGTCAGACGATGGACTATTTTTATGGTGCTGGAGATGGCAGGGGGAGAAGTACAGTGTATGCTCTGTTTACTGCATGTGACCACATGAAGAGTGTTGGGCGGGGAGGGGACACTGAATAAAAGCCAAAGGTCAGGAGTAGCTCAGTAATGTGAGATGGGAGCTGGCTAGACGGAGGGCCGGTCGCTGACATGGGGCTCATGTGGATGCAGCGTCTGATCCAGGCGGTGGCTGTTATCGGGGTCGTCATGCTGCTTGAATGGCTGTAAATTCCTTCCAGCCACAGAGGTCTTAACACTCACTTAGAGACGTCTCCGTCCTTTCAGGAAACTTTTTCTTGGGAAAGCTCTTTTTTTTTTTTTTTTTAAAGCCCACTAGTTTCTGTCCTAAATATATCAAACTCAATAAAATATTCCAATAGAAGGAAGCGTGCGATGGCCAGGTCGATGGCGTCTGGTGTTCATCAGCTGCTGTTTGCTAATCTTACGGCCCACTTGGCTGCTCTTTATGATGAAGGATGTTCTGTCCTGTGCGTCAGGACAGGACCGGTCAGAGCTGGTTCTCAACGGTCCGGCAGCAGGCAGCTGGAGTTTCCACTTGCTGCAGCAAAACCTTCTTCCTTCTTTCGTTTCTCTGTTCTTTCCTCTCAGACGGCTGTGTCCAGTTTCCTCTTTTCTGCCTCTGCCTGGCTTAAAAGGCTCAGCATGTTTCCCACTGCCTGGCTCTCTTTGTCACCTCACATTCTGCCTTTTCCATTTCCATTATCAACACTCAGCACTCACTGTCATTCAGTCTGACTTACAAAATCTGTGTAAAAGTGCAGGATGGCCAAAACGTTGCAGTCACGGGGACAGCTTTTGGAGAAGTAGGACTCTGAAGTGGTTAGTCTGAAGTTAGGTTCATGAAGGAAGTGCAGTAGGAGTCCTGATGTGATTATCTGGCGCCATGTTGAATATATTTCCATGTGATTTAGCTCACAGTGCAGAGATAAGGGCTAAAAGAACAGGTCTATACTGTGGAAACGTCAGTCTGGCCTGAAGTCCTGCTGGAATATCAACAAACGAATGTGCTGGTTGTATACAAGCGGGTCACGTAGTGTTCAGTGTACACGCTGTACAGCTCCTCTGCCTGCACTGATAACATTCAGCACTCACACTGAAACAACATTTAATCACACCTGGTCAGGGGGCAACAGGCCTGTATGGCTATTTGAAGGAAACATTATAAAAACAGGAGCCTCCAGCTGTGCTAGCGCCCCCTTCAGTTTGCAGTCCACTGAATGAACATCACCATAGTATCAGTGCTACCATGATAATGTTTACCATGATCACTTCAACACGGTGGCATGCAGGCTGGGTTACGTGAGTTTAGGTGGCTTTAGCCCAATT